TTTGCTTTGCAAAAGATTTGTAAGATAAGGACAGTTACTCTCAATCCCTCAAAAAATTAGATTGTAATTTAAATAACATAAGTTGATCCACCTATCCAAGTACATTATCTTCAATTTGCTTCCTTTCCTCTGGATATAAAGTTGTAATTTTAAGTATTTCTGGCAGTACTGAGTGACTCTCCTTTGGTGCAAGAGGGGTCTCCAAAGAGGGTGCAAAGGATCCTAACTTCCCAAGATTCAGGGTCACTTGCAAAGACAGCCAGAAGGAACTGATAACCTGTATGTCCTAAGCAGACAAAAAGCCAAGCCCTTTTATGTAAAATAAGACAATCACTATCCCTGGAAAGAAAAAGATCAATCAATAACCAATTGGTCTGGATTTGGATGGGAAGAGACAATTTGAAATTTTATATTCCTCTTTAGATTGGACACTATAGACAGAAATTCAGAGGAACAGATTCTGTTAAGAATTTTCACCTTTCACCGCCTTCTGCCAGTTTTTTCAGGATCCTCTCTTTAGACTCTGGTGTCTACCAGAGTTTCCCATTAGGTGTTTAAGGGAATAATGTAGCAGTTTACCAGAATGTCCCTCAGTTTTGTAAACTCTGGCAGGGGCCCATGTGAGTGCCCTCCTTTGAAGGTAGCTTTGTGGGTATTTGCGAGGCCATTTATTTGGTAGACTTTTGATTATGGTTGTGTGGTCCTTTCAGAGTGGAAAAATAATTCAGACAGAGGATTAGTAGGATGAGTACTTGAAGGAGCAAAGAGGGGAGCAGTAGGAGTTAGCCAGACTTACAGCCTTGTTTTAGGTATCTCTTAGGCTCAATTTTTCATGAGCATTTTGCAATGAATCTTTCAATGAAACTTTCAAAGTTCTTTTTGGAACTTCAAAACCTTTTGGAGGCTTCTGCTTGACAATTAAAAAAGGAATCCCATTCTGTGTAATTTGCCTTGCTTTCAGGTATACTTCTCAAATGAAGATATCTAATTGGAACACTCCCCCAGTAGAGACTATTGTATTTCTAGGCTGTAATTCCCCTGAAGGCTGATAGCAGTTTGGTAGGACCCTGGGTGCAAATGGAGGTAACCCCCATTTCTTTCCCATCATATCTAGCTACAGATAGGGTGCAACTCACATTTCTGCCCAGCCTTTTTGCCCCACCCCAACCAGCTCAAACTGGTCTGGGTGGCCTAGTCTGGCTGGAGATCTTGGGGGTGGTTTTGCTTCCCACTTGCTGGAGTTAAGAGGTAAACCGGAAAGAAGAACTTAATGAAGAATATGGGGCAGAGGTCGGTGAGTACAAGCAGGTGGGCAGTAAAAGTCAGGTGTTGGGGTCTAGCTGGTGACATAACTAAAGAACTAGGGACTAGGGGAAGGATGAACCAGCAGACCTCAAAGAATGGAAACTACAGGGCAGCCCGGGTGGCTCAGCGGTTTAGCACCACCTTCAGCCCAGGGTGTGGTCCTGGAGACCTGGGATCAAGTCCTGCATTGGGCTCCCTGCATGGAGCCTGCTTCTCCCTCTGCCTGTGTCTCTGCCTCTCTTTCTCTCTGTGTCTCTCATGCATAAATAAATAAAATCTTAAAAAAAAAAAAAAAAGAATGGAAACTGCAGGCTGATTTTCAAACCAGGGGAGGACTACAGCTGCCCATCAGCAGTTCCCAATATGGAAACTGAGGACAGAATTGAAGGCTGGGGTTTTGATTACCTGGACTGTGCAATGGAAGCCCCTGAGCACAACACGAGCAATTCCCAGCATGGCCAACACCAGCAGACTCCCCTGGTGGAGGCAGATTAGAAATCGGGAAGCCATTCTGATATGGAACTGTGGACCGAACCAGGGGGTAGGGACTGGTGTTCTGTTGGGAGCCTCCTGTTGGTCTAGACAGATCCATTAACTGACCCTTGACTGGAAAGCCCATTAGGAGCTCAAATGCAGAGTGAAACTCAAACCAAGAGGGACTTACCAAGGTCCTTGGAAATGGTGAGAAAGACTGTGAACTCAGAAAGGCTCACAGGCCCCATCTGTGCCTGTTTCTCGTTTTCCCAAAAGGTGTTAGAAGTTTGCTTTAGGGGGATGCCTAGGTGGCTCAGGGGTTGAGTGTCTGCCTTTGGCGCAGGTTGTGGTCCTGGCATTCTGGGACCGAGTCCCATATTGGGCTCCCTGCAGGGAGCCTGCTTCTTCCTCTGCTTTTGTCTCTTTCTCTCTGTCTGTGTTTCTCATGAATAAATAAATTAAATCTTAAAAAAAAGTTCACTTCAGACCCCAATGCTGCCCCCAAATTTATTCAATAACAAGTAAATTCAAACATATAATTGTCTTTATTAATTAATTCATGAATTATGCAGACCTTTCCTGCAGGTAGAAGGGAACTCCAAAGGGCTGCAAAGAAGGAAAGGTTCTTAAAGGCAGGACAAAGAAATCATAAACATAAAAAAAGGATTATTTCAGGGGAAGTCATCTTCGTTTGGGGAACTTTTATGTGGATTGGGGGATAGAGAAGGCCCATGTGACAGATTACTTTGTTGGTTCTGATCAGAAAATTCCTGACTGGCCAGGGAAGACTATATTTCTGGGGAAGGCTATAACAGTCCCCTAATACTGTTAGGCATTAAGTAAGCCCCATTTTGGTGACTTGGCCTAAGTGACACCATTTTGGGCCTGTGGTTTTCTTTTTAACACTATGGAAGATGGGGCTGGGGAGATTCAAATCATATCAGAGACTCAACTTGCCATTACTGGCTCAGAAGTTCAGAACATGGCACTTGGGCATATGGATTGTGTTGAGTGAAAGGCACTTGAAAGACAGCAAATACAAGAAAAACACTCATCTTCCTTCTTTTTCTTAAAAGGAGATGAGATTCCTATATGAAAGATGTTCTCTTTATGCCAGAAGGTAAACACATTCTGAACTTCAAGGATAGGAAGTTTAGATCAAGAAAATTCTATACATGTCATCCTTGTTAAAATAATTCTGATCTTGCTTCAGCCTGCCCACATAGTTGAGTCACTTTCCCACAATTGTCTCCCTTTGTTCAACCTAAAGTAAAAGCAAGTTGGTTTCAGCATCTTCTTTGAGTCTTGATCCCTTATGAAGGCTCCTAGGGCATGAAAATCTTCTTTTAAATAAATTTTTTATGTGGGGCGCCTGGGTAGCCCAGTTGGTTAAGTGTATGCCTTTGGCTCAGGTCATGATCCCAGAGTCCTGAGATTGAGCCTTTTGTAAGGTTCCCTGCTCAGTGGGGAGTCTACATCTCCTTCTTCCTCTGCCCCTCCCTGTGCCCAGGCTCTCTGGGAGAATGGATTTATAGAGAAGCAAGGATAGAGCAAGAGACCACTATGTGTCTATGGCAATAATCTGTGCAAGAGATGATGGGGGCTTGAACCAGGGCAAAAGTAGAAGAGATAAATGGATTGGATTTTGGATGCTTTGAAGTGTACTACCAGTTATCTGATTAGGGGGGTTAAAGGGAAAGCCAAATATAAGTAGACTGTCAGGACTGATATGCCCTCACATACCTCACAATTGGGAGGAACTTTAAATGGCTTAAGAGAAAATTTCATGTCTTGAAACTAGAGAAAAGTGTCTAAAGGTTGCCACATGAGAATTTAGTTTTGGCAGTTAAAGAATTGTTTCTCTATCCTAAATCTGCAGCCAATATTTCTTTATTTTCCAATTCACCTGTCTTTCTACAGTCTCTGGGTTTTCATTATTTCCCAATTTCAGCTGGCCTATGTCTCAGTTCTTTCTCCCATTCTACATTCATCACCAGGTGGGATACTAAAAAAAAAAAAAAAAAAAAAAAAGTTACTGTTGCCAGGGAAAAGAATGAAGACTAGTTAAAAACAATAGCCCTGTATTCTATTCATCAGCTTGGTTTTAAGAGGACTGAAGACCTCTAATACTGAAATAAGCACGTTATTTTAAGAAACAGAATACTGCTCTATTACTCTTAGTAGTGAAGATACTTTGTTTTATATTTAATCCTTCCTGGGTCTGGAATCAAATAATTATGATTGCAAGACTTAGATAAATGATGAAAGTCAAGTTACATTTTTTTAAAATGCTGAATACTGGTACAAATAACATACTATATTAATAAGTGAAAAGCAACAGCGCCCATTCTCAGCAAGTACTATCTCTTCTTTCATTCTAAGGTGGGGTTCATTTTGGCTCAAAACACTGCAGGTTAGATTGCTGTTATCCAGGAGCTGTAAATACTTGTGTAACATAATTTCTTTTCTTTTCTTTTCTTTCTTTCTTTCTTTCTTTCTTTCTTTCTTTCTTTCTTTCTTTCTTTTTCTTTCTTCTTTCTTTCTTTCTTTCTTTCTTTCTTTCTTTCTTCTTTCTTTTCTTTCTTTCTTTCTCCTTTCCTTTCCTTTCCTTTCCTTTCCTTTCCTTTCCTTTCCTTTCCTTTCCTTTCCTTTCCTTTCCTTTCCTTTCCTTTTTCTCTCTCTCGCTCTTTCTCTCTTTGGATGGCTTTTTTCCCCTTATCCACAGAAAAGCCCTCTGATTGCTTCCTGATCTTACAGGCTTCACATAACTTAAAAACCTCATTCAACAAACATTGGGTGTCCAGTGTAAGACAGCATGCTTGATGCCAGCCAAGGGAGGACTACCAAGATGTACAAGAGACAGGATGCAGCTCCCTCTTTCTACTTAAGAATCTGTGTGAAATGCACCGGCCGAGCCTCCCCTCGGCAGTTGGTGCTGCCTATCCTACGTTGGCCCTTAGACATCAAGTACCTCGCGGCTGCGACTGCGGCATGCGCTCAACCAGTTTAATTCTCAAAGTCCTATCCTAAGGTGGACACTGCAGAGTTCCATTTAATTTTCACTTGTAAAGGGGAGACACTGAGGAAGGCACATTCGAGTTTGCTGCCTGAGGTGTCTGCTGAAGGGTCTCCTTCCTCCGGGGCCAGAAAGGCTTACTTACCTACTCTAGCACCTGCTCCCCGGGACAACCCACACTTTCCTCCCTGCTCGAGGTCTACCCGCCCGCTGAGCACTGACCAATAGGCGCGTCCCGATTCCGCGGGGGGCGGGGCCTCGAGCCTGGGCTCCGGGGACCCGCCCCCCGTACGTGGCCTGCGTGCGTGACGCCGGGCGGCGCGAGGCGGTTTCTGCAGCGTGTGGCGCCCCCCGGCGGCAGCGAGGACTCCATGTGACAGCGGGACGGGCGCGCCTGCGATGGAGCCGCAGACACCGCCGGGAACACCCGGGGACCCCGTCGCTCGGCCGCCTGAGGACGAGGGGCGGCGGGAGGGCCGCACAGCGCCGGCGGAGGCTTCCCTGGGCGCCGCGGCGGACGGCGCCTGTGCCGACGCGCTGTGGGAGCTGCCGGTGGAGCCCGCCCAGCGGAGGCCCCAGTGCAGCCGCTGCAGGTGACCGCGGGGCGGGGCGGGGCGGGGCGGAGCGGAGCGGAGCCGGGTGGGGGCGGGGACCTGGCCCGGCGGCGGCCTGGGGAGGAGGCTGCGGCGCCCGCTTCCGGGGAGGCGGTGGCTCCGGCTCTGCCCCTTCCCCGCCCCTTCCCCGCCCCTTCCCCGCCCCTTCCCCGCCCCGGGGAGCGCCGCCTCCGGGCCGCCGCGCGGGGCCGCCGCGCTGGGCGCCGCCGGTGACCTTGGATCGGTCTGGAGAACTGCGGGGACAGCCCTTTAGTAAGAAGCCGTTCATCCAGGTTCAGGAGTAGTTAGCCTTGCTTCCTGCAGGACGCCGAGCCTGTCATGGGACGAGCCCGCTCGAGTTCGCGGTCAAGAAAGTCTAGGAGTCAGAAAAGTAAGGGGTGATGACCGTCTTTAAAGTAGCTGACACTGCTCGAGTGGCGTAGTCATCTCACAGTAAAGAAAGGTAAAAAATAACTAGAGATCAGGGGCGCCGGGGGCTCAGCCGGTGAAGCGCCTGCCTTCAGCTCAGGTCACGATCCCAGGGTCCTGGGATCGAGCCCTGCATCCGGCTCCCCTCTGGGAGCCTGTTTCTCCCTCTACCTTCCCCCTGCTTGTGCTCTCTCTCTCTCTCTCTCTGATTGATAGGTAAATGAATAAGTAAGTAGTCTTTAAAAAAAAAAAAATTAGGGACGCCTGGGTAGCTCAGTAGTTGAGCTTCTGCCTTCGTCTCAGGTATCGGGCCACCTGCTCAGCCAGGAACCGGCTTCTCCTTCTGCCACTCTCCCTGTTTGTGCTCTTTCTCTCTGTCAAATGAATACATAAAATCTTAAAAAAAAAAATTAGAGAACAGCGACAGTCAAAATGACTTTTGAATTCTGAGTTCATTTGGAAGTATTCATTGAGCTTCCGTATGGTTCCAGGCATCTGTATTGTGCCAGGTCGTGAGAATGCGGGCATCGATAAAACACCACTGTCTCTGCGCTCCTTGGGACGCCTACGGTCTGATGAGGACGCGGTGTTTAAGCAGGCAACGACAACCAACACTGAAGGCTCACAGTACGCCCACTCGGTGCAGACCTTTCAGGATTGCGTCATTGTGCCGCTGCTCTTGAGGGTGCTAGTGTATTTCAGGGTGGTGAGGATTGCTTCCCCTTGCCTGTTTACAGCTCATGCTGTTTAGATATACGTTCTCTCTACCCTGTGGTTGTTCAGGATCATTTTGTTTGATTGCTGAAGGTCTTCATCTATCACCTATCTCCGTTCAGGCTGCAATTTTAACCCTTAGATGGTGTCTCTGCTTCCTCACCTGGGAATAGCTCTGCGGTGTGTCATCATGCCCTACACTGCCCTGACATGGCTCTTCTCAAAGTCAACCCCCTGAGATGAAATCCAGTGGATCCTTTTCTGTTCACTTTAAAAAAAAAATTCTATTTATTTATTCATGAGACACAAGAGAAAGGCAGAGATATAGGCAGAGGGAGAAGCAGGCTCCCCTCAGGAAGCCTGATGTGGGACTTGATCCCAGGACCCTGGGATCACCACCTGAGCCAAAGGTCAATGCTCAACCACTCAGCCACGCAGGTGCCCCTGTTTACTTTTTACTAGATCTGTTGGCAGCAGTCTGCAATTAGATACTGACTTCTTGAAACATCATGTGTCTCTGGCTTACCTGTGTTTTTTTCTTTATTATTTTTATTTTTTTTAAAGATTTATTTATTTATTCATGACAGACATAGAGAAAGAGAGAGAGAGGCAGAGACACAGGAGGAGGGAGAAGCAGGCTCCATGCCGGGAGCCTGACGTGGGACTCGATCCCGGGTCTCCAGAATCACGCCCCGGGCCAAAGGCAGGCGCCAAACCGCTGAGCCACCCAGGGATTCCCCTTCCCTGTGGTTTATCTGACTTGTCTGTCCTAGTCTTCTTTGCTTGTTTCACTCAAACTCTAAATGCTGGGCTTCCTCAGCTCCTGATTCTGGATTCTCTTCTCTACTCACCCCCCTCATTTTTCACAGGTGATCTTCCCAGTTTTTATGGATAAATTATCACCTCTACCCCAGTACTTCTAGCCCAGTCATTTGTCCTGAGCCCCAGACCTATGCATTCATTTAACCAGTGTTTATTGAAGGCTTTGGTGATTCTTGGTTATACAGTGGAATTTGTGCCCTTATGGGATGTTCAGTCTGTTACTGGATACAGATATAAACCAGCAACCAACTATGTAATTACAGAATGAAAAACAAAAACAACAAGCTAGCAATGAAGCAAAGGAATGGGATTCTGTGACAGAAATAGGAAGCTGTCAGGAAATATTTCTGAGGAGATAATTGAAATATATATACTGAGAGTTGAAAGATGAGAAGGATCCAGTCAGGAGAAAAGCATTCTGAGAAGGAGAGAAGGACAGACTGGTTTAATGTCTTTACTTGACTACTTGGAGTATCTGACCATGGACATTTTTTTTTTAATTTTTTTTTTTTTTAATTGTGATAGTCACAGAGAGAGAGAGAGAGAGAGGCGCAGAGACATAGGCAGAGGGAGAAGCAGGCTCCATGCACCGGGAGCCCGATGTGGGATTCGATCCTGGGTCTCCAGGATCGCGCCCTGGGCCAAAGGCAGGCGCCAAACCGCTGCGCCACCCAGGGATCCCTGACCTTGGACATTTTGACCTTTTCCCAGGATTGGTTTGTAAGAGCTCAGAGGAAGGGACCTTGAGTGTAAGGATCTTTTTATATTGTATTATTGAGAGTAGGCACTCAATACAGATAGACTTTGGAGGAGAATGAATAATATGTGTTTAGAAGGAACTGTGTATAATTTTTTCTTAAAAGATTTTATTTATTTATTCATGAGGGACACAGAGAGAGGCAGAGACATAGGCAGAGGGAGAAGCAGGCTCCCTGCAGGAAGCCTGATGTGGGACTCAGCCCAGATCCTGGGATCACAATCTGAGCCAAAGGCAGATGCTCAAACACTGAGCCATCCAGATGCCCCCGGACGGCATAGTTGAACAGAAAGGGTATGTGAATACAGTTTATTTAAACAAGTTCCCTAAAAGTGTTAGGAGAACCACTTAACAATGATGCAAAGGTATCTCAATAGGATGCTGGTAGAAAAGTATTTCAAGTATAAATGCAAGGCTAAATTATCATGCCAGCTTTATCATGTAGTTTTTAGTCTATTCAGAATTGCTCATTATAAATGCTGTATATAGTTTTTTATAAAGAAGATGAGTCTCCTACATTTAGCGAAGATTTATAGTTTTTTCTAATCCACTGCGCTACCCCCTAATAGACTTTATTTTTTTTAAAGAAGTCTTAGATTCACAGCAAAATTGCATGGAAGGAGCAGAGATCTCCTATATATCCTCTGCCCCCCACCTCTAGGTAACTTCGCCCATTATCAGCATCCCCTGCCAGGGGGGTACATTTGCTAAATTGGATGAACGTCATTGTAACTCAATGTCTGTAGTTTTACATTAGGGTTTACCCCTGGTGTTGTATATATTTTGATTTTGGACAACTTTATAATAACACTTTATAATATCCACTATTATGCCCTAAAAGTTCTTTTTGCCTTTTCATTCCTCCTCAAAGCGTAAGGCTTTAACCTAATCTGCCTTTTTAAAAAAAAAAAAAAGATTTTATTTATTTATTCATGAGAGACACACAGAGAGAGGCAGAGACACAGGCAGAGGGAGAAGCAGGCTCCATGCAGGGATCCCCATGTGGAACTGGATCCTGGGACCCCAGGATCACACCCTAGGCCAAAGGCAGGCACCACCCAGGGATCCCCCCAATCTGTTTTTTAAAAAATAAAAATGATGTGGATTTTAGCTTGTTTTCAGTTACATTTAGTTAATATTTTAGGATTATGATTCATTCCAACACTTTTGCATTTTGCTTTTTCTAGTGAAATTTTACACCTTTTAAAAGCTCTTCTCTGCCTTGGCATAGTATGTATTTTGCTTGTTTAAATTGGTTAGATTACAGTTCTAGAAATCAGAGAATACTTAGGTGTTGTTAGTGAAATATCACTAATTGATGGCTCTTTATATTTTATTTCATTAAGCTCTTGGAATTTTACTGCCCTGGGTGAACTTACCTACATTTATGCTTATAATAGTTTTTAAAACTAAAATGCATTTTTAAAAAAAGATTTTATTTATTTATTCATGAGAGATAGAGAGAGAGAAGCAGAGACACAGGCAGAGGGAGAAGCAGGCCCCCTGCAAGGAGCCTGATGTGGGACTCGATCCCGGGGACTCCAGGATCAGGTCTTGGGCCTAAGGCAGGCGCTTAAACTGCTGAGCCACCCAGGGAGCCCCTGAAATGCATTCTTATATTTGGGTGACCAGCAAATATCAATTATTTGGCCATTTACTTAAAACAGTATTCCTTTCTCTAAACATGTAACTGTCATAGCCTAGGGAGTTCCAAAAATTGGTTTTATTCAGCCAGTCCAAACAGTTTAACTTTAGAGCAGAAGCTTGCTAGTTAGAAGTAAAAGATCTCTTCAACATGAACAGGGTATTTAAAAAAAATCCCAAACTGGTTTGTTATTGCTAGATACATAATTTATTAGAAGTGTGTTCCTGTTGAGTAAACAGAATGTACAGGTGTACAGAGTATAGAAAAGAGTGTGTTTAGAGAGCTTGTTGGAAAGGAGGGAGAGGAGATAGCTATAGAGATTAGTGGTGGTTGCATTGGGAAGGGCCAGGTAATCTGTGTTAGGGAGGTTAAAAAGAATTCAGCCAAATGTATTAGAATCCACCAAACTAAGCCCTGGAGTATTTTTAATATTTGAATGGTTGTCACAAGTGTGATTTCATCAGGTGACTTTTAGCTATAATAATTTCTATTTTATTAAAAAACGCAGACTGATTTGTGATATAGTGGTAAAAGTCTTGACTGAGAAGAGTTCGAGCCTCATTCTAGTAAAGAAGTGAGACATCTTAATTATACTTTTATATCTTCTATAATTACTGCCATGAGCCTGAGGAT